CACCCACAGGCATACAACATGTGAATCTATTCTTGGTATTACCACTTACAACATGGGAATCTATTCTTGGTATTACCACTTACAACATGGGAATCTATTCTTGGTATTACCACTTACAACATGGGAATCTATTCTTGGTATTACCACTTACAACATGGGAATCTATTCTTGGTATTACCACTTACAACATGGCAGAAATAGTGCCCTATGATCCTGCAACTCAGCTCACTCAATTTTTACCTGTGACGTGGCTAGAGGTGTGAGGTGTCCCTGGCTTGGGTGTCTGTATATTGGGTGTGTGGGCCGACACTGGCCCATCCATGCCTTCAATGTAGAACCGGCCTTTGGGTACAATGTCACCGTCCGTACGGCCAACTAGCTTCACACACAGTTTGTCGCCAACCTTCTGATCACCATAGGATTGCTTGTTGACAAGGACAAACTCTTTACCGCCATTCAGAGTTTTCTGAACTTCAGCAACCCACACCTAAAGGTATGATAGTTCAAAATACGTTACATGTCAACCTTTTTGTTACTTGGGAACACATGCATAATTAGGTCTCTACCAGGACTTCCGGTATAAGGTATGGAGTACGGTCTACTACTGGAGTACTATCATGCCGCCTACCACCAATGAGCTCTCGAGAGCTCGTGTGCAAGGAAGATAACAGTAGTCGACAGCAGGGGGCATAGTTATAAACCTAATAGGTTGTCAAGGACACCGCCAGAAGGATTTGAACAAGGACAACTCGCTGTGACTTAAACGGAAGATTAACCAGTTCTTGGGAGAATCTGCAGTTCTTACACGTCATCTTCAGAAGGTCAATACAAATATTTGGAAGCGTTCTGAGGCAACTGTTATGTTTTGTGTTCTTTCTATTAATTAGATTTACTTCATTCGATACTTGGTTAGTAGTATGGCTTCAAAACCTACATTTTGTCACTCGTGTGTTAATCATTCACGCGGAATACAACTTACGTCCAGTTGATTGATGTACAGGGGTATTCGAACTAAACAGAATAAACTTAACCGCAAAGGGAAACGTAAGTCTCATTTTCTGTATGTCAGATGCACAGAAGTATCATCAATGAAACGAAATGTGTACAAACAAAGAAATGCAAAGAACACTATTCCCCATGTGTATCATTCATTTGATCACCCCCGGGAAGATCCGGGTAAGAATTGATCTTCAGTAACCCATGCTTGTCGTAAGAGGCGAGTATCGGGATCGGATGGTCAGGCTCGCTGACTTGGTTGACACATGTCATCGTGTCACAATTGCGTAGATCGATGACATGATGTTAATCACTGGATTGTCTGGTCCAGACTTGATTATTTACAGCCCGCCGCCATATAGCTGGAATATTTCCGAGTGCGGCGTCAAACTAAACTCACTAACTCACTCATGTGACCAGTTTGCAGGAATACAGTCGTTCATGTGTAGGGAGAGGCAACTTTACATTCCAGTCGCTGCCATCGAGTGTTCGACTTTACAGCAACACTTGAATGTTTTGCTCCAACTGACAATTACTACGAATGCCTTAATTTCCTACTGTCTCAACTGTGGCATGTAACTATGCCTATGCCACCCTATTACCAATATGATGTCTTGTGTACAAAGAATTTCGACATTGAGGAAGGTTACAATACTATACATATATACTATCCCCAAAAAGAAACGCACAGGCGTTTTGTATGTTTTAAAATCTATCAATTACCTATTGTGTTCAAACAATCGTCAAAATATGTAACAAAAGTGTTGATAACATGATTTTAAACAATTGTACACGTCAAAATTCGACTTTACCTGAAAATGTTGATTGTGATGAGATTTCTTACAAGGATACAAAAATTCCTCACCGCAACGCAACAGAAATCAACTTCCAGTTGAAATTGTGCAGCAAAGAGCTTGCGCTGTCTGGCTGGCTATAAAAATCCAGATTACTTTGGGAAATCGGCATTCGTTTTGAAGGAGTTTCAAGGTCAAATCACTACGCCATGACTTGACGCTCCGACACGGAACATCGTCATTGAAAGAATGCAGGCGTCTAAGAACGATATCACGGCTTACAGCTCGTTACATCCAAACAAGTATTACAAATGACCCTCCCCGTACAGGCAGACCTCGAGTCACCACTGTAGCCCAAGATCACTACATTTGCGTGATCGTCCTGCCACGGGTGAGAGCACAGCAGCCAGGGTACATGGAGGATATCCGGTCAAACTGTACAGAACAGGTTGAGAGAGATTAGCCTGAGAGCCAGGAGATTCGTGCTACGTCGTCACCATGGCGCTCAGCGTCTCCGTTATCTAAAATTATCCACTTGGTTGTATAAACATTTCCTTCTTCTAAACTGATGCAAAAATTCATTTCCTAAAGTCTATTTGGGGACGAGTTATACATGTTTGAAAATACATCACTTTCGCAACAGATTTCTGGGTTGTGCGTTTCTTTTTTTGAATAGTATATTACTACACAAGTTCAGAGTTCTTTTTTTTCCGTTACTATACTGTAATGCTTTCATAAGTTAGAAATATGCCCGCTGAGGTCAAAAGGTTATATTTATTAACGAGGGCTAAGCTAGTAATATGAGTTAGCGCTGTGTAACATCCTCGCGGTCTTCCTTCAAACGTTGCTCCGAAAGTTGACTAGACTTGGGATTTGTCCCAGAAATGTTTCTTCGACCATTCCTTCTCTGCATGCCACTTTCGCCCTCCTGTACCCGACAAACACAGCAAGTCCCGTAGGCGACTGGACCAATTTGTAAACCTGTCCACTGACAGCTCCTCTGAACGGCCGTAACTGCAGGCGTTCCTTCTTCAATAACGTCACATTTAATATATAACATGACACGACTTTTCTCACTTGTTTTTTTTTAATATCTAAATCTGTAACCATAATCAGTAATTATTTATATGTGTATATTTGCTTATTAACATCAATATCATGAAAGACAGAAATGCCTAACAAGGATAGGATAGGAGATTATATGTACATAAATACACGGGACAAACAGGGCTTGAAGGGATTGGCGCTTAAAGGGTTAAAGGGTTTAGTCTTTCTCTAGTACCTGTGAAGGTCCGGGTTAGAATTGGTCTTCAGTAACCAATGCTTGTCGTAAGAGGCGACTAAAGGGATCGAGTGGTCAGGCTCGCTGACTGGGTTTACACATGTCATTGCATCCCAGCTGCGTAGATCAATGCTCATGCTGTTGATCACTGGATTGTCTAGATTGCCTAGATCATCATCCTCCCACCCCCACCCCACCTCAAATTCGTGGTAGTGTTCCACATCCAACGTGCTTGCATGCGGGTAAACTTAAATCAACCCAAGGATGCACACCCCCTCGTGATCTCGAATTACCTGCCCTTGATTTTCATCAAATGTCAGGTCAGGGTGACATGAAAACAGGCAGGTCTCGCATATCAACCTGCGTTTGTCATCTCTACACCTGTGATGTACTGCCTATAATCCACACAGGGACACGGATATATATTTAATGATGAACTGCAGGAACATCTACAAGAAACTACATCAAGCATGGGAACGAAGATGCACCTGTCAACTTACACAACACAAGGTAAAGTTAAAGTGATAGAATAATTACAAGCTCTTACAGGATGCATTGGCAACATGAACTACATGGAGACGTCTTCGCGTACTCCTCACAAGGGGAACACTACACGGCCTGCTTCAATAACTGCAACCTCTAGCGAGATGAGTGTGAACGACACATGTTGTTGACGCTTGCTCGCCCTTAGCTACTCAATAACAGATTTTATGTCATTACAGTTGACAGTATCCGATATCCAAGTTGTCTTTACACAGGGTGTGGGCTTGTTTGAAGGTCGGTCTTAACAGTATTCCAGGTGCATGAGGTTGTGCCTGCCTTAGATGGAATGAAAGTACTGAGAGGTGCAGGTACTACAAATTAACAATGGGGTATGATGCTGACAAATCAAGAATTGTATAGAGGATAATAGAGGCTTCCTGCCCGCCCATGGGACGCAACTCCGGGCAAACACGCCCCTCACCAACACAGCCTGTTCACGTGGTGTATTAATACATAAACTAAGGGTAACAAAACTACTGCATTGTTAATTTCTTGCAAGATATCTAGAAACCTGATTACAGGTGCATTCTATTATTCTGGCCGAGAGAATTTGTGGGTATATTGGATAGTTTGGTGAAGGGGTGATTGCTGAAAATGAGTCAGTTATGTTGGCTTCATGACTTAGCAAACGTTTGAACGTGACTGAGTTGTGCTGTTTCAACAGTGTTTCAGTATCATCTTCTTTAGTCGGAGGAGTGAGTGAGTGAGTGAGTTGGGCTTTACGCCTCTTTTAGCAATATTCCAGCAATATCAGGGCGGGGGACACCAGAAATGGACTTCACACATTGTGCCCATGTGGGGAATCGAACCCTGGCCTTCGGCGTGACGAGCGAACGCTTTAACCACTAGGCTACCTTTAGTCGGAGGAAGTCCGATCTGATGGACCTTAACCGCTTCGGTGAAACCAGCCTGCACTTTTCATAAAAAAATAGATTCTGGGCAAATTCTAACCGAGGTCCTTGATCGTCTAAGGGACGCAACTCAGTTAAACTTAGTAAGTGAGAGAGTTGAGTGCATGTGCGGTATGGTACTTGGTTATACAGTTCTCAACATGATTGGCGTCAGTGTAGCCAAGCTGCGATGACACAACATCATCTAACGACGGCTAGGCCGGCTGCGACGGCTGCTGCAGGTACCAGCTACAGGCGTCTAGGCTGTGACATGTCTTCCGTGTAGGTAGATACTTCAATACTGTATTTCCATAAAAATGCTAACTCAACGGATTCAACAGCGTCACAACAGTCAGACGTCAGGTCACATTATACTCACGTTCATAAACATGGAACAGTAACTACATTCCGTGTCATGTGCAATGTTAGATAATATATATAACACATTTTGACGTAAATAGAAACATAAAACTAATTAAAACTATTTCAATGCCCAATCTCCCATGTTTCTCATCTCTCACAGTTTCACAGTACATGCTGACGGTTGTTATGTCAGGCTACAATGTATTCAGGATATGCAAAGTCCTTGTGACGACACGTCGATGACATCAACTTGCGCTGCCCCTCTCTCCACGTCTCCAATCCGACAGCACTATTTGTGAAATGTTGTCACAGGCCGTGACGCGTGCGTATCCTGGTGCCAACCACTCGCACGGCGTCGAACTCGGACCAGACACTTTGGACCGAAAGGTCAAGGTCAATCCTTATTGCGTCAGACTTGAAGTCTGGAGGCTAGGTTAAAAGAACATTGAACACAATTAAAGACAGATACATGGGGTTTTTTTTAAATAACACTGTATTTACTCATACATACTGCTATTCTATATATAAGTTGCATTTAGATCAGCTGATTGGTACCTTTATATTATTACTCAAGTGCTAGACTTCAAGACTGTTCGTGTCTCATAGGCAAGCTGGCCGGGTAGTGTTTGTTTTAAATTGTGATTATTTGTTTGTATGTATACCGCGTGACACGTAACTAAACTATCGTTTTATCTTATCTATATATTTATTGCCCAGTGCAGCGTTAAACAAACAAACAATATTTATAAGCAACGTGCTGGTTCCCTGGTTCCCTGTTTAACTACGACTTGTGACAGCTCAAGACAGAGCTCAGTTTAAACCCGTTCCTGGTTGTTTTTTCCATTCAGGAAAGACCGTGTTTTGGGGTAATTTGGATCTGTTTAGCATATCAAGGCTTGCTCAGACTGATATTAAACACGAATGTTCACGAAGAAAGGTAGCAGGGTAAATGCCATGAAATATGTTCATTTTCTACGTCAGAAAATAGGAGCTATTCTGTCATCGCACTCATGATGTGTAAGATATTTGTATATATGTACATAGTGTTTTAATCGAGAATAGGTAGTTATATATGAGTTACAATTCAGCTCTATGACCTTCTTGTCATATAATTACTTATACATCTATGTTTAACAATAGGAATAGAATACTACTTAGTATATTACTGATTGGTATGTAAGAATATTAGTTACGTTTTATACGTTAACATTTTATGTAGTAAAACATTCATTTCAGAGCTCCCACGGTAAGCTTTACTCTCAGTTTACATATCCTAAGTGTCACACTGTATGCTTACAACACTCTTTGCTCCAGGTCGTCCGGTCAGTTCTGTTGTCCAACTGATAGCCCAAGCTCACTACAGCTTAATTTGTATACTCACTTGGCCTCTTACTTCTGGAGGAAGGACACATGGGGTCCTCAAATATTTATCGTGAATTCTTATACTATAAATATTGAGGCTGTCATACATACACACTATAAAAATAAACGTTGGCCTCCCTTCTTCACACCCACCCCCCTCCGTTTGTGTTCATTTTGGGTACAACAAACATAGCGCTCTTATAATAACAATACTTCCACACCGATTGCAGAAAGTCTAAAAATCGAACTGGAATTATCTTTCAGCTCATCCAACCAGCTCGTCGTCGGAAAAGATTGCAATGTGGGTGTGAAATATTTAGTATATTCAGAACTATTAAGATTATCGCCTTAATTTGACAGTTTCTGTACTTCAAATGACTTTGGTCAGTGTTTCCCAGTACGGTTCTAATCACGTGGTCATACACGGGAAATAATGTTCAAAGTGGCATTGAGCCAACTCACTGACTCATTTACATTTAGAATATTTCATGTCACGCGACGTTCATGATTCCTAAATGCTATTAGAAACAAGGAGCACAAAACCTTTTCCATTATCAAGATGTGCGCATCCTGTCCCACCTGTAACCCCCGTCAAAAGTAAGCACAATCAAGTCAGCTCTTCAACTTAAGAAAGTCCGGACATGTTGTACAAGTTAAAATAGGAAACTGCATCGGTATCATGTTTCTGGCTGATGAGAAGTCTATTACCATAAAACGTTTTGAAAGCTTGACCCAGGCTAAGAAATATACAACATCAACGCCAAAATATATGGCCAGTCTCGATTTACCAACGGAAATTTTCGTGGCTTGACTTTATTTGGAAGTCTAGTTGGGAGTAACGTGAAAAATACATAGGGTGGTTATACTCTCCAAGTACGACCTACCTTGAGGTTTTATTTTGAATCGACCCATGAAGATCAGGGGTAGAATGGGTCTTCAGCAACCCATGCTTCTCACAAAAAAGCGACTATACTTGTAAGAGGGGACTAACGGGATCGGGTGGTCATTCTCGCTGACTTGGTTGACACATGTCATCGGCTCCCAATTGCGCAGATCGATGTTCATGATGTTGATCACTGGATTGTCTGGTCCAGACTCGACTATTGACAGACCGCCGCCATATAGCTGGAATATTGCTGAGTGCGGCGTAAAACTAACCTCACTCACTCATTATTTTGAATCATAAATTTGCTTAACTTTTGACTTATTTGAATTTTTTTATTGGCATCTTATATTGAAATTTGACTGGTTAAAGGTTTATTTCACTTGAAACTTCGATGAGATAGTGAGTGAGTGAGTGAGTTTAGTTTTACGCCGCACTCAATATTCCAGTTATTCTATACGATAGAATCAATCCTGCAACTACTTAATGTTTTCTCATATGGCCAGCTTTGGATGAAGTCAAGCACGTGTGAAATACTCTTGTGAACAGGTTTTTTGTCAGTCTTAATCTAATTCTAAAAATGAAACCGATAAGGCATACACTGGGTGGCCAATGTTGTATGAGTGAGTTGGTGAGGGTTTTACGCCGCTTTCAACATTGTGCAAGGATTATCACAACCGAACCTAGGTCATCGATTCCACCAATACTATGTTTACCAAACACCTGGCTATCATATACTCACCATGAAATTGGGGATTAAAATCCGACTTGTTTCTAATTTCTCAAAAGCAGGCGTTCTCCACACCTCCATCCAGTCAGAGTTCGGATCTCGGATCGAAAGAGACTCCACCCCACCAACCCAGAACACCTCATAGATGTGGATCTCCGTGATGTAGATCGGTTCTGGGATTCCGAGCTGTGAACCGCAAACCATATATCTCATCATATGTACATTGTACATAGCTTGCTTAGCTGAACAGAAACAAGACCTTTTCTTTCATGTTATCCTAATAATGATGATAACTTTAAAGAATCAATAACAATGACTGCACCGATAATTATATGAATAACGATGATGATGTCGTGACAGCAGTAGCAGTACTAATGATAATAATGACATTTATACCCTATACGATAATGATAATGACATTTATACCCTATACGATAATGATAATGACATTTATACCCTATACGATAATGATAACTATGACAGTAGCCTGACTGGCTCACCTCCACATATTGTTCATCGTTGAGATGTCCAGGACACCAGGCCTTCTGAGTGTTGCCATAGCTGGGGTAGAAATCCGCGGCTCCCAACATATTATTTGCACTGTAGTCCTTAAAAGGTCTAAACAATAAAAACAATCCATATTTAAAGACTCGAAACGTTTACAAACTCATATGATCACTTCACAAATACATGTTATGCTGAGCACAAAGTGGAGATTCATGTTGGCGTAACTTGAACTTTCACTGTCATGTGATAATATCATCAATACAATAATACAATTTCTGGCTGGTTATCGAAGAAGAAAACTTATTTGTAAATTTATGTAACTGATTTGAAAAAATATTCTGAATAATAAAGAAATAGTGTTACTTGAGTGTTCTCTGTTATGACGTTAAGGCAAGTCATTGATGCCATTTTTTCCGATGTTGGTGGAACCCGACATTACTAACATTCTATCATAGTGGTTTTCACTGTGAGCCTGAATACTGTGCATGCGCATTTCACAAAGCTGATGAACGTCAAAGAACTGTGTCGCTGCGCTGACTGGTTTGACAATATACATGAGTCAGAAAACACTCACACCCAATAGGCAGAAGATGAATCTATGATGGAGGTGATCCACGTGTCCACGACATCTGTAAAGGAAACACAGAACTACATTCACACCAGTTTAAATCAGGGCTCCTTTGACTGTGGCTGTGAAATACCTACCTACATGGTGCCCACTTAAATCTCTAATTTATGTCGGAAAATCCTCACGTGTGTCGCTAGCAGGGACTTGACAACTGGCGGCACACGCGAGGATTTATGCTCACATTACTGCAACCGAGACTCGCACAGGCTTTTATACCGTTAATGATTACCATTTTATATATACTTATCAAAATGACGATGTTTTACTATTTAAGGTCAAAGTGAAACTCCAGGTCAATTCGAATGTACTGTGCACTACCCCAAAATCCAAGAATGTAAAGCACACATGCGATTACTCGACCAAGACTACGGGGGGCTATGATCATTCCTTGTGGAGGGAGGTTCATTATAATTATCATCATCAAAACAATTATTGTTATACAATTTATATATTAGAAAATAGCCATAGATCCTGGCACAATCAGGCTCACCATAAGCTCGGTGCCTTGCAGTCATAACACCCCAAACATGTCAGGCACCCAGAGCAATGGGAACTCGGACAACTTGGTACACGGGAGGGAACTGTGATATTTCGTAAGGGAGCTCTGCAAATTTGCCATGTTTTAACTGAATCGTGACAAAGACATCTGTGTCAAAAGGGACTGAGAAATGAACAATACATATTATTTCAAAGGATATATATAAGAACAAGGCTTGGATACATCTCAGGCTGTGTCAAGGCCTATTCCAAGGAATTCTAAATTGTCATTTTCTGTGATAATCTACTTATTCGTGGTCATACCTTCAAGCATGGCGAAGACGGTAATAGAGGGATGAGCGACGCATGTCCGGCACTGTGACAAGCTATTGGGCAGCATCACCACGCAAAATGTGTTCATGTTCATAGTTACATACAAAATCACACTCGATGGGTGACACCCCTGCCAAAGAAGTCCAATGTAAATCTTCATCCGAAAACGTAACTATTGGTCCAACGTATTGCAGTAATGTGACGGCCCGACACTCAGGGGAAAACACTTGGACATTGGGCGTACAGGTTCCATGGCTGTAGATGTGTACAAGTCGTGTGTCCACTCCAGTCTGAGAGGCACTTTGACCACGGATGCACAGTCGTTCTGATGACACGGTCTTGTGCGCCAGTTGTCGCGCTTTGTCGACCAGATCGGCTTTCGTATTTAACGTTAATTATCTTTTACGTCTGTGATTGTAGTCTCTTAATTTGTTAAGAGTTTGTCACAATGCTCTGTCTTGGTCCAAATTCCACCATCATGCCAATGTCACGCAGCCGTTCCTGACGTGACAGACGTAGTATATTCATGAACGTTTGATTTTGTTTAAAACAATTTCCGTCAGCAATACGCTGACACGTTTCACTGTAACGTTCGGATTGTATCCCGACCATGTTCATGTGCACATCATGAAGAACGTTTGCACGAAATTAATAACAGGTTGAGAATAGAATAATCATTTCAAACCCACATACAGTCATAAAACGTGGTTCCCGAAATATCACCAAGTGTAGAATGTCCCCTACCTGTTTTGATAGCTATAGAATTTGCTTTCTTCTGTGAGGTATGCCATCTCTAGACATTACATACAAGGTCAACCATGATCTGAGTAAGATGTGATTGTGATCTGTGCTGAGGGGGTCCAAAAGGATAACCTCCCTCTTTCTTGAAGAAGGACTTAAAGCATGCAGCAACAACTCAAAGGATCAAAGGAATAGCCCTGAAATTTTCAGAGTTCTAAAGTCAGTGACTACACCTCACTGAAAATGACACTATTCCAAAGAAGAAGTATCCTGAAATGAACCCAATATTGACATATTCCACCGATTTAACATTTCTGGTTTTGGAAGACAAAAGAGGCGAATGTATAACACTCCCGTAACACATTGCAAGTATTAAGTACGATTTACACATGTTTATAAGCTAAAATAGACATTCAAGCAACATGTTTCTACAGGCATTAAAATGAAATGGTCCCTTTGGTGATAAAATGGAGATGCTCAGCTACCTGTCTTGAGAGTATATCCAGCTGAAAAGGGTTCACCCAACAGCAAGCCACGGGGATGTGCCTGCCATAAAGTCCCATGCTGGGATTCGAACCAAGGTCCTAAACCGAAGTCGGACGCCTTGTCAACATGACCAAAGAGGTTAACTCCGTAATGTCACGTCTAGCACCACGCCCTGCTACACGGACAGTGACAACGATATATGCTGATACTGTTATATTTTCCGGTGTTTGGATCTGGGCATGGGTTCAAGATGGAAACGGACAGCCCAGAAGATGACCAGGAAAACCTTCAGCTCTCAGTGTTGATAAAATATATGAAATATATGATGCTATTGTGGATTACGACGACTAAAACAGATACCATTCTTACTGGTATCTGTACTCAGAATCCCGACATAGCCTAATGTTGTTTTCTGTTAAAAGTACCTTACCCGTCGGAAGTGTGTCATGTCCAAAGGCCACTGCTCCTGCTGCTGGTATTAACGTCAACGCCGACAACGGCAACGTGTGGCAGGTACACATCATGGTGTGGGGATCAAAGATGAAAGAAATCTTGTAGCCTGTGAGCACACAGTGAGAACTGCAGTCTGCCAGGTTGGCTACAGTCTTTGATATTTTCACACTTCCTGACACTTTCTTGCCGCTATACAGAGACGATGGGACCATGTTCAGGATCTCTAAGCAAGAGCCATTGCTTGACTTACACATCAGACTCGCAAGACAAAACATTAAAGTCAGAAAGTCTGTTTCCATATTGAAATCAAACTTATATCTCCTTGTTTTGTTCCAAACACAGCTACCGTTGGTATCGGTGAACACACTGTCTGAATGAAACAATCCGTCTCCCTACAAGATGCCGTGAGTGTAAACGACCTGAATCTTTAGCGTTTAATGGTTTGACGTTATGTCTCAATAATACACTCCAACTATAGCATTTTTGTTTTCACAGTGTTCAGGCTTGTTGCCGTTGACAACACTTCTGTCAGTCCTATGTGCCTCGTCCTGTTAGTTGAGGGTTATGTAAACAAGGAATAAAATCGATGATGTGAATTACGGTAAATTTGTACCTACTTGTAGCACATTGTAACCACACGTGTGTCGGTGATTGTCTGGGACAAAATGCACTCGATGCGTTAGTGTTGTTTCTTTAACGGCTGTATCAGCCCGGCGCTGTGTAGATGCAGAAAGTAATTTGTCACTTCTTTCTTATGATAGGAAAATGCGTCTTGAGTCATTGCAGCAACCACAGCCAAAGAATACGATACATTAACACGTTCCAACTTCTACTTACCCGTGCGATCAAATGTTTGCAAAATAAAAGTTTTTGAAGGGGAATAAGGTAACTATCGGAATAGCAATGTACAGTAAACAACATTTATAAGCAACTTGATATTTACTCCCAACATTCCTTTCACATTAGGGGCGGTGGGGTAGTCTAGTGGTTAAAGCTTTGGCTCGTCCGCCGAAGACTCGGGTTCGAATCCCCACATGGGTACAATGAGTGAAGCCCATTTCTGGTGTCCCCCGCCGTGATATTGCTGGAATATTGCTAAAAGAGGCGTAAAAGCAAACTCAGTCAGTCAGTCAGTCCTTTCACATTATCCTTTGACTTAAATTTGTATATCAAAGAACTCACTATTTCAAATTTCAGGGCTGCGTTTGAACAATTACGTTCGACTTCGCATTGAAAACGGTAGATATATTAAAGAACTTGGGGCTGATAGATTATGTCTTGTAATACCAAATATTTGTGCCTTTCTAAACAAAACCTATTCAGATATTACTTTACACAGTATTAACACGTAGATGTCTGATACTCCGGAGGGGCGGTGGGGTAGCTTAGTGGTTAAAGCGTTGGCTCGTCACGCCGAAGACCCGGGTTCGAATCCCCACATGGGTACAATGTGTGAAGCCCATTTCTGGTGTTCCCCGCCGTGATGTTGCTGGAATATTGCTAAAAGCGGCGTAAAACCAAACTCAGTCAGTCAGTGACTCTGGACACATTGCGAAGATCTAGCGATGTTTGTACAGAATGCAGTGCCACATAGACCGCCATTACTACCTCATGTAGTATGATAGAACCATGTGTAATGTGTTTATCTTGTGTCGATACCTCTCTCATAGTCAGATGCTCGTGTAGAATGTGCCTGTGTTCTCCACTACCAAAAAAACAAAGATTGATTGGTTTAACAGACTTCGGCAGTAAGATATTGTTAAGAAGGCTGCATGTGCAACCAGCTGATGTTCTGCACTAAAGTTTCGACATTAAGAACACATGCTGAGGCTTTAATTGCTTGCAAGTTATTGATGTTTATTCACAACAACCACAGACAACAGAACAAAAACACTTCAAGAACCTAAACTTAATGTACCAAACATGTTTCATAAGATGTTTTCGCAATGCTTGACAGCCAAACCGTGAGTGCCTGGTGAGGTCACACTAATCCATATCCCGGCTGTATGATAGGTCAACCTTGACTAAGTGAACCGGTGGTTGATAGCATGAACAAGACGCGTGAAGATCTAGAAGGCTAGAATTGATCTTCAGCAACCCATGCTTGTCTACACCCATGAGGAACGGGCTAGAATTGATCTTCAGCAACCCATGCTTGTCTACACCCGTGAAGATCCGGGTTAGAATTGGCTTTCAGCAACCCATGCTTGTCATAAGAGGCGACTTACCAGCTAAGGGTGGCTGGCTTTATTCACACATGTCATCGTATCCCAAACGTGTAGAGCAATGTTCATGATGCCAATCACTGGATTGTCTGGTCCAGACTATTTACAGACGGCCGGAATATAGCAGGAGAAGTCTGAGCGCGTCGTTAAACAACAAACCATCAAGCGATCACTGAAAATCCGCTCAGTACAAACATGCATTAACCAGTGCCCTTAGAAGCACTACTCAAAGATAGCTTTAAAGCGGTCGTAGTGGTCAGACAGCTTTGTGCAGATGGGCCCTGATCCCCCGCTTACACGATCGTTTCTTACGACACTTGGCGCATTGGGTTAATTATTCCCAGGGGAGGGTGTATCTGGAAACAATTATTCGCAACAAATGGGTAATTCAGCCCAACATATGTTTCCTACAACGCTTTGAAAGCTTCACTGAGCTTTGTGCGTTGTAATTCTGACAAACACTTTTCAAGCAATATCAGTATGTCTCGGAACACTTCAACAGTTGTTGACAACAAAGGCTGGAACTGTTGGCTCAACAAAAGAAACGTTGACTATAAAAAAGGGAAATATATGACCTCCAGATAATGTCCAGGCTCGATTCAGTCGACTCTGTTGCTACAGTTTGGTACACAACCAGTGTTACTGTACGTGTAGGACTTCAGAAGATCAGAGTACAAGATTAGCTGTGTGGAAAATACTTTCAAAAGTGCAATGACCAAATTAGGAAAGTCTGCACATATTAAAATGAGTGTTTATAACCCAAATACATACTTGGTTGGAATAGCATTAATATCCATCATGCTCTGTTCACCTGCCCGTTCATACAAGGCTAAATGTATATATCAAGGTTGAGATAAAACTGAAAAAGCGCTCCAGTGAGAACGAGGACATATGGTGTTATCTCCTGAAAGTCTTCTCTGGAGCGCAGTATATTTGCCTGGTCTAGAGAGGTAAGGTCCAACTTTTCAACCTGGTTAACAAATGGTACCCTAACTGCTGTGTAGCGTTTTACTTAAATCTCTAAGTCAAGATTACTTTTATCGTCTACTACATGATTCACATACCCTCTGATTCGGTTGTATCAAAACAAGGCATTATCGGGATTTCATGGGGTATATACATGTACATATGTAATTGTCATCATACATGGGGGTTTTAGGTGAAAGGGGTGTTAGTGTTGGGCATCTCAGCCCTGGTTTTGTACATGATACATATCTGCAGTATTGACAAAGAAACAAAGAAAACTATACTGAGTCAAAAAAGATACTTCACATTCTTTCTTCAGGGCACAATAAAAGAACAAGAGATGGTTAGATGGTTAAATTGTTATTATTTCATTGCTGAGATCTGTGTGATGTACTCGATACATTGACAGTGCCATAATCAGTTCCATTAGGCTACACCGCCGTTCCAAAACATGGGTATACAGAATGTAATGTCACAAGAATAAAAATGCGAAATTTCTCAGTTCAATATCGTGTATGGCCGCCCCGCGCATTCACCACTGCCAAACACCGTCTCGTCATCGACTGCCTGATGCTTGTGAACACGTGGTTGGGGATTCTGCGCCATTGCTCTTGCAAGGCAGCGCCAAGTTCCTGCAAATTCTGAGGTTGGTTCCTAAGACCACGAAGCCTTCTCCCAAGTGCATCCCAAACGTGCTCTATTGGATTAAGGTCAGGGGACCTCGATGGCCAGTCCATGACGTTGATTACAGCGTTTTGAAGGAAATTTCGTGTCAGCATCGCGGTATGCGGCCGAGCATTATCATGCTGGAACTGTAGACCTGGGCCATGAGCTGCCATGAAAGGAACGAGTTCAGGGGTGAGCACCTGGTCGCGGTAAGCAGCAGCTGTGAGGTTTCCACGGATGACCAGAAGTCGGGAACGGTTGTTCCCACAGAAAGCACCCCACACCATGCAACTTCCGCCCCCGAATCTGTCGACTTCCTGCACACAACATTGGGCATACCGTTCACGACGTCGTCTCCAGACTCTATGCCTGCCGTCCGCAGGGTAAACCTGGATTCTTCGCTAAAGACGACTCGATTCCAATCTCTCTGGGTCCATCGGAGGTGACGTTGGGCCCACAGCAGACGTTGACGTTGATGAAACGGCGTCAATATTGGCCCACCATATGGACGTCGAGAATGGAGATTGGCAGCCCGCAACCGATTTCGAATGGTCTGTGAGGACAGTCGACCTCTAAACATCTCAGCCCTGGTTCGTGTAGCCGGCTGAAATCTGTCACGGAGGTGACGTAGGACGATTTGAAGGTCCTCTGCTCGTGACGTCACACGTGGACGACCCGACCTTGGGCGATCAGAAGTGGTGCCAGTTCGTTGTAGACGACCTCGCAAGTCATACACAGTACGACGGCTGCATCCCATTGTTCTTGCGACGTCAATAACTGATCTTCCTGGTTGCAACATGCCAACGGCACGTTCACGTTGCACATTTGACAATCGTGGCATTTCAAGTACCGTTAGAACTGCGGTTTTAAAGTATTTTTTCAATTCTTGAGGCCAATGCAAACACGTACATATGAAGAAAACTTCGATGCGAAGATCACGTGATCGACTGCACGTGCAAAACCTGATTTGGCACCAACATCATTTGCACGACGAATGGATGGGTTTGAGTGGGTTTTGCTAACGTTTTTCGAGAGTCGAAAGATAGGGATCCCATTTGGGATACATAGATGTATCATCAGAAAAAAAATTATTCATTATTTTTCAAATTACATTTTGTGAAGTTCCTTTTTTGACACAGTAATAGTATTAATTGTGCAGTCGTGTTATTTTTCATGACGAGTATATCTGGTGAGCCTGGGTTGATTACCGTGATTCCAGGTCGTGTTTAGACAGTTGTTTCTTGTGATCCCATTAAGATTTCAACTAGTCTTAGTCCTTGAAGGCATTTTGTGGGGACAACCATTTTTTACGTACTTCAAAAGGGTTTTTGCGCATAAGACTGTCGAGAGACTGT